AGAGATTTGGGGGATGGCTCAGTTGGTAAAGCGTCTTTTGCGTGATTATGAGGTCCTGAGCTCAGATCCCCGGCACCCATGTAAAAAGCTGGGTGCTACGGAGGGTCTCTGTAGCTCCAGTGATGGGAGGCAGGAGTGGGTGGATCTCCAGAGTTCTTTGGCCAGGTCCAGGGAGAGACTCCATCTCACAGATAAGAGGACATGCATACACCCACATGAATGCATGCGTTCACCACACACACACACACACACACACACACACACACACACACACACTGGAAGAAGTGAAATGTGACATTTCCAAATGGCAGGTAAGAATTGATAGACTCTTTCATGCCTCCCTTCCCATTAGCATAAGTACAGTCACAGGAGCTTGCATGCCCACACAGGATGGCATGGGGAGGAGGGGCCAGGAACACCAAACGACACATGGAGGAGAGAGATGCTGCCCGAAGCCCAGCAGGTTTTGTGTGAGGAGAAATGCATTTTGTTAAGCTGCTGAGACCTGCAGGATCGGGTCGTGGCAGAATCTAGCCTATTTAGCTAGGCTGGAGTGGAGTCACTGAGGCAAGGACCGGCCTCACAGATGGGCCGTATAACAGTTCAGCCGAGGAATCCTAAGAGGAGTGGCTGGGCATGTGTGCCTTTAGGTAAGGTCTTTAAAGGAGTTAACTCTGGATACAAGCAGTTTCTCTTTTTGCCCTTCCTCTTCTTCTAAAGTATAACACGGTTGCTGAAACTGTGAGAGTCACTTGGACAGCAAGAGGACTTGGATTTATCCTACAGGAACCATGGACCACAAGGACAGGCTGGGACCCTATGGATACCACAGTCGGCAGCCACGCTTCGGACCTGCCGAGGCTGAACTTCATTCTGGGAGGGGAAACAAGCTTCTGTTTTGTTTGAAGTCAATGATTTGAGGGCTTCTTTCTCTTTTGGGGGGTGGGGGAGTTGTGTTTTGTTTTGTCTTGTTGGTTTTTTAAGACAGGGTTTCTCTGTGTAGCCTTGACTGTCCTGGACTCAGTTTGTAGGTCAGGCTGTCTTACGGATGGGCTTTTGTTTCTCCCCGTGTGAGCAGGTCATTCTTTCTCTGTCCCTCCTTTGCCCTTTACCTCCTGCCTCCTCTGCGCCCCAACTATGCTAATAACTTCCTTTCAATCGGAAGTTCCAGTTTCCCCAACATAGTTACTAGTAGTGTCTCTTTAACTCTCTTTAATGTCAGTTTCTATGCTAAACCTCTCATTACATGCATTCGCAACACAGCTTTGGGAGTGACCAGAAACCGTTTTCCCTTTGAATACACTCCAGCTCCTTCACATGACAGGCATTTACTTGTAGATTTTCTGTTGGAGGTTGGTCTGATGCTAATTACTGGTCCTCTGTGTAAGCCTGCCTAAGTCATTACACCTGTCTGGCTAATTAAACAGCCTCTACGTGGGCAGGACAGAAGGGGGTGGGCGTGGCTAAGGTTCCCAGCTTTGGAGAATGGGAACAGACGGAAAGAGAGGAAGGAGGAGGACACCAGGACGGGTTAGCCTGGAGAAGAAACCACATGGGCGGGGAGGAAGGACTTCCAACGGTGTGAAAAGGCCCAGATGAGGAATAAAAGCAAGTATTTATAAGATTATGGGTGGGAGATAGGATTAAGGAGGATGGCATTGGATGTGGGCTGGGAGATGGATGGTGAGGTGATTCAGACAGTGTAAGTGGGTATATATGCCCGGCCCAAGGTAAACAGGGTACTTATAAATCTAACACGTGTCTGTCTTATTATTTGTGATAGTGGGTTAGATCCGCCATGATAATCATAGGGCTAATAATAATAAAGCTTACATAGCCCAACACCCATTTACTATTATTGACAACAACTTTCCATCAAACAAACTCAATTTTTAGAGGCAAAGCTGATCAAAGACTTTGTTTATTTAGGGTCTCATATAACCTAGAATCTGCCTTGGGTCTGGTCTTGAACTTTTGATCCTCCTTCTTCCACTTCCTGGGTTCTGGGATGGGCACATGCTGCCATGCCCAGCTTTTGTGAACCTGGGGACCAAACCCAGGGCTTTGTGCATGCTAATAAGCATTCTGCCTGCTGAACTACACACCTATCCTTTCTAGACAGCAAGCATTTCCACCCTGATGGGATGGGGATTGTTTTCCAACCAGTCGATGTACCTGGGATGGCATGGCGCTGGCTGCGGCCACCTCATCTTGGACTGGTATGTGTGACACAGAAAAGCAGAAGATATGACAAGGATGGTGACCTTGGAACTCTGTGATGTGTCAGGTGAGGAACTTGAGCCTCTGGGGGCAAAGAGACATGACGCCGTCTGGGGGAACCGTTGCATGATGGGCGTTCAATGTACAGGATACTTAAGAATCCTAAAGTTGCTGGGCACAGTGGTGCACGCCTGTAATCCTAGCCCTCTGGGAGGCAGAGGAGGGTGGATCTATGTGAGTTCGAGGCCAGCCTGGTCTACAAAATGAGTCCAGGACAGCAAGGCTACACAGAGAGACCCTGTCTCAAAACAAAACAAAACAAAGCAATCCTAGAGTCTGAGTCAGACTGAGGGTTCATAGCTCTCTTTGCTAATAGGAGGGCAATCTGGGGCAAATATCTCTTGGTAATGCATATGTGACCAGGGAAAGGAGCAAGAGTGGCATTCCAGGTCCTCTCAGCGCACACTTGGCCTCACCCCTGTCCTGAAGCCACAAGCACGCCCCTTCCCCACTGAGTGTTCCAGTGCACCTTTCTCAAGAAGAGTTCCTTACGCCGTTCCGTCAGGACACCAAACATGGTAGTTAAGCCCTTGGATGGTCATCTTCTGGGTCTAGCCTTTGCGTCTCCATTGTTTGGACCGGTAAGATTTCATCTTCCTGCTCTGTACCAGGTAGAACAAGAGATCTTGTCTACCTCCAAAGATGAGCTTTCCCCTCCAGAGCTCACCTTGCCCAGAGACCAGGAAAAGCTGTGTCTTTCTAATGTCCAATGTTTCTGACCCAAAGCGGACCTCTCTCCTGAGCCTCACTTCACTTTGCACTCTTGGGTTATTGGGAGAACTTGACACCTTGAGGACCTGGAGCCTGTGAGGTTCAGATTGGAATTCTGTAGGAACATCTCCAGGTCAGATCACACAGGCGCAAAGGAAAGCATTGAACTCAATAGTTCCCGGTCGTGGCCACACGCACTGGATGCTTGATGCCCAGGCCTCACCCCAGCGTACTCAGAGGAGAATCCCTGGCTGGCTGGGGTAGTTTTTCATGGCCCAGGAGAGGTCAATGTTCCCTTCGAAGGAGGACCAGAGTCTTCAACCTTGGCAGTCCGGGTTTTAAATGCTTCTCACAGTTAGGATGGCAACAACAGGCCAGACCGGAAGAACTTCCCTCACGCTCAACTTCATGCCTTACCCATCTCAACTCCCTCGTGGCTGTGAGAAGTGGAAAGAGAGTTGTATCTGGAGTTTGTAGAGGGACCCCTTGGAAGAAGAGCATCCATTCAGAAGCTCAGATGCCCAGGTACGTCCCTGCCACCTGCAGCTGCTGGAGGTGCTGAGGACAAACTGAACTCTGAGCCCTCACATCTGGCCTTGCTGTTCTGGGAGTGACCGCTACTACTATATTCATACACACACACACACACACACACACACACACACACACGAACACACATCATTCAGGCACACACTTGCATGCACACACACACACACACACACACACACACACACACACACGGGGGGAGTTGGGATTGGAAAAAACCTTCTCCAGAAACGATGCCATGATGACCCCCCGCCTCCTGTATATCACAGGTTGCTCCTCCTACTCCCCATGCAGGTCTAGCCACCTACGGGTCCTAGGGAAAGGTAGACATTTTTTTAAAATTTATCTATTTATTTTTTAATTTTATGTGCGTGGCATTTGGCCTGTATGTATGCCTGTGGGTGCCAGATCTTGGAGTTACAGATGATTGTGAGCTGCCATGTGGGTGCTGGGAATTGAACCCAGGCCCTCTAGAAGAGCAGTCAGTGCTCTTAACCACTAAGCCATCTCTCCAGCCCCCTAGATTTTTAGAATGAAAGTTTAGATTCCTGAGGGATCTGGGTGAAAGGCACCTCAGGCTTAGAAACAAGGCAGATGTGATGAGAGATGAACCAAGACAGTAAGAGAACCCGCAAAGCTGAGGCCCAGCTGCAGCAGCCTCTGAGGCTGGCCCAGCAGAGGGCAGGCAGTCTGAGGAAGGATCCACACAGCTGCTTCTGAGGACAGTAACATTTGAAGGCCTCGAGCCCAAACCCATGGCCTCCAGTCATACCCCACTGTGTGTCCGCCCCGGCTGCCCCCTCCACTCCCAAGCCATGCCTGCTTCTCCCAGGGAGTGGCCAGCACAGACAGGGAAGCTTTGCTGCTCAGCCTCAGGGGACAGTCACAGCTGCTGCCTCTGCACTCAGCTCTGGCCTTCCCCAGGGCTGGCTCTGCAACACAGCCTCCCCCACAAGTCCGAGGGGCACATGTGTATCCTGCTGCTGCTCTGTTGAGGTGTGCAGCCCTCCTGGCTCCCTGCCAAGCCCCGTGCTGGCCCTCAGGGTCCTGAGGTTCAGGCTGTGGAATCCCTTGTTTTCCCAGTTGGCCCTGCTGCAGCCAGATCCTGTGGCACTGAGCTCTGAATGGAGATGTTCAGGCAGGAGCTGCAGAAAAGAGAAGCCCAAGGCTTGCTCCCACGGTGGAGGGACCCCAATCCAGCTGCTGAATGTGTCAAGACCTGGCCTGAGCCCTGCAATCCCTTTTGTGCAAGAGGGACTAAGTTTGGCATTAGAAGCAGGGGCCTAAGGATGGATCTCTGGGGACAGGGACACCAGGCCACCACACCAGAGAATCTTTCTGAATGGAAGGTAGGGAAGTTAGGGGCTGAGTTCTCTGTGGATGTAATGTCCACAGGGTGAATCTGTGGTTGGTAAGTGTCTTTATTGGGAGGGAGATCCAGCCCCCCTGACTTTGCCAGCACCCTAGGTCATAACGATTTCGATGTCAAGCTCCAGCTGGCTGGCTTTGACCTCATAGTGGCCCCTGAGCGTGCCTCGGGTCTGGTTTTTTCGGCCGCGCCAGTGAGCCTGGATGGTGCAGACTGCTCGGCGCGTCTGGAGGAATCGTCTGCGGGCCCGCCACATGCGAACGTTCGCCTGCACCTTCACCACTGCCCATTCCTGGCAGGTGTAGAGTCGTAGCGCCAGGCACCGTCTCTGCTCCACCATCTTGGTTTGCAGTGACCTCCACCAGCACTGGATGGCCCATGCTCCCAGCGCTGCGTGCATTAGCATCCGGCGGACCATGTTGCCACGCCACCATGACTGGATCTTTATGGCTGTCTTCTCTAACTGATTAGGGAAGGAAAAACGGGCAGATGTTCAATGGAGCTTTTCTGCCATTCCTATCCCCACTTCTGGTCCTTGGGGGGAAAGGGGACCTGGCCTGGGCTGCCCTGCCCTCTTGTCTCTAGAACCCCATGTATCTTATCTTCAGCCGTTACTGTACTGGCCGGTTTTGTGTGTCAGCTTGATGCAAGCAAGCGGGGATCACCAAAGAGCCAGGAGTCTCAGTTGAGGAAATGCCTCCATGAGATCCAGCTGTAAGGCATTTTCTCATTTAGTGACCAATGGGGGAGAGCCCCGCCCATGGCGGGAGGTGACACTTCTGGGATGGTAGTCTTGAATTCTATAAGAAAGCAGGTTGAGCAAGCCATGGGGAGCAAGCCAGTAAGCAGCACCCTCCATGGCCTCTGCATCAGCTCTTGCCTCCAGGTTCCGGCCTTGCTTGAGTTCCTGTCCTGACTTCCTCCAGTGACAGACTATGATCTGGAAGTATCAGCCGAATAAACCCTTTCCTCCACAGCTTGCCTTTTGGTCATGGTGTTTTGTTGTAGAAATAGAAACCCTAACTAAGACACCTACTCACCTTTACATTCTGTTCATTATCCACTGGGCTGGTCTCTTTTAAAAGGGCTGTATTCACAGTTTGTATGTCCATGGCCTTGGTCTTTAGAGTCCACTCATCTGTCATTTAGGCTATCCTAGTTTTTGGCCCCGCCCTCAACTATTAGTCATGTGTCCATCACTGGACTCCACCCATCTTCACAGGTGCCTTCTCATCAGGACCTGTCTGCCTCAGTTTTAACCACAGACTTGTTTCCTTCTGGATTGGAAAAGCTCTTCTTTCACGTATTCCCATCCTTGGGGCATACAGTCTTCTGCTGCCTCCAATTCCTTCTCAGACTCATCTCCACCTTCTGGTAGCAGCAGAGAGTTAGGGAACTTTCTGGTAGACAGTCTTAGGTTAGGGTTGCTCACAGCCATTGTGGGTTTGGGAAGGCTTCCATGTCAAAGCTCTTGGAAGGGTCCCAAGCAATGGGAAGCAATAGAAATGTGTATTTTTGTCCAAATTTCTAACCTTTGATTGGAGAGGGTCTTGGTCTCTTCTTCTTTTAGGCTCCTCTGCCACGACTCCTGGTGCTTTGTATGGAAAGACAGCCTCTTTGGGTCAATGAAGGGGAGGCTGAGCTGGGGTGGGGCTGGTTTGGATGAACAGCCTAGCCCTGTATGAGTCTCAGTTGCTGGTGTGAGCAGGGACTCCTGCTCCTGTCACTCTGCAGCAGCTGTGTTCATTCACCCCGTGTCACAATATGAAGGTGTAAGGGCAGGGGACATCAACTTGTCCCACAGAACCTGGGAAAAAGTACTCAGACTGGAAAGGAAATGTACAGTTTGGAAGACATAGAGCCAGAAAACCACTGGAGAGAATTCTTCCCGATGTCAGGTGCATCGTTCCCCGAGCTGAAGAATTCATCTTCACTGATATTTTTTTAAATTATTTATTTTTACACTCGGACCCCTGAGTGAATATATGTACAGGGGCCCATGTGGGCCAGAAGAGGGTATCAGATCTCCTGAGACTAGAGTTGCAGATGGCTATGAGCTGCCTGGGAACCAAGCCTGGGTCCTCTGCAAGAGCAGTAAGTGTTAATTGCTGAGTCCTAAGTTGAAGCTGTTATTGGAAACATACTTGGCAGTGCAACGACACAGGTATTAACATACATGGTTGTTGGTTTTTCTTTTTTTTTTTTTAAAGCTGGGGATTAAATCCAGAGCCTTCCACGTGCTAGGTAAACACCCCACGACTGAGCTGTATCTCCAGTCATCTATTTTCTTTTATTAATCGGAGTTTTGTAAAAAAAAAAAAATAGAATTTATCAAAATCGGGATTGCAGATTAGCACAGTGGGTAAGGTGATCCTGCAAGCAAAATGACCTGGGTGTGTGTCCTCTGCACCATGTGACATGCTGGGCATGGTGGCCTGCCCCCCTAAACCCACAGCTGGGAGAGTGGGGAAAGACAGGGGTCCTAGTGCTCGCTGGGCAGCCAGCCTAGCCAAGATGGAGAGGCTCTGTCTTCAAAGTGGGAGGGGCGGTCAAAGGCATCTGAAGAAGCTGACCTTTGGCCTCCATGAGTTGGATCATAGGTGAGCATAAGCACGTACATGCATACAACACACACACACACACACACACACACACACACACACACACACACACACACACACACGTGCGATTTTTCTCAGAATCTCTGGTTATTGGGCCCAAGCCCAGGACGGAGAACAGTGGGTGGAAGTCTACAAGGAAAAAAAAAAATCATAAAAATCATAAAATCATCCTATGAAGGAGTACTCCAAGTACCCATAGCTTAAGTTGTAGGAAAATATTATAGAGGCGGTCAATATAAAAAAATAAAACATCATGGATATGAGCTATCGACCAACTCTCCAAAGCTGGTGGGAGTGATTTCCTGTCCGCAGTGCTCACTTACGTTTGTATTTGCAATTTTGTATGCTTTGTCCTATTCTGAAGACCGGCCTTCCAAACGATGTTAGCTTCTGGTTCCACAAAACCCCTGAATCTGTCTCTTCACGCTGGGGACGTGCCATTGTGTAGCCGGGTCTCGCCGGGTCTCATGGGAACTCACCAAGTTCCGCGTTTCTGAGACTCAGCCCCGGGATTGGAGCCCAAGGATCCAGGGACAAAGGAAAAGGCAGTACAGAGGCCGTGCAAGCCCGCTGAGGTTCGGAGGCCATTCCGGCTTCGGCATGATTGCTCCTTTTCCTCCATGGTTTTTGTTTGCGTTTTTTGAGCATGGGCCGCTGTAGGACCATCCACCATCTACAGCTCCTGTTTATGTGTCTGAGGTGCCTGCTGTCTTTTACACCAGCACGAAACCAACAGTCTAGAGGTGTTGCAGATCCAACCAAGCAAACTCCTTGCATTGTGTTCAAAGCCCTGAAGAGAATTCACCTTTCTTCTGTTAACGGCTGTCTAGCTGGGTGAGCAGAGCGCAGCAGCCAATCATCCCAGAGGCATTTGTCTTTGTAGCAACCCCCCAGCACTCTCATAGAAGTCTGTTCCTGCAGAATGGAGGTGCCGGTTGTGGACATAGCCATCTTTCTGGACTCGGCTCATCACATCAGGTTGCTGTGGCCCAAATGTCACTTCACTCCCCACTTTTCCTTATGGATCTCCCTGCTCCATCCTGTTGCCATGGTATCCTGGCTTTGTCTCCTCTTTGGATGAACTTGAAAAAAAAACCCTCGTCCCTTTATGGTCACATATTTTTTCAGTTCCACAGTGGCGGCAGGTGTGCCGGCGAGCGTGGTCTGTCTCCGGTTCCAGTGTGCGTCATCCTTTAGAAAGTTTATATGCTGTAAACTTGGTCCCCATCATGGTGGTGCCAGGCAAGGAGACTGTCAAGAATGTGGTCTTAGAGAGACATCTTATTACCGAGGTGCTAGCCTGCACAAATGGACCAGTGGAACAGGAGTGCTGGAAGATCCCAGTCAAAGCTGTTAAAATGAACCTGGTTTCTGAACTACCTCTGGCTTTCCCAATAACTCCACCGTTCAGATGCTGCCCAACACCGGTGTCGGGCCCTTGAGTCTCACCAACAAGAGTTAAATGAACTTCTGCCTTTATAAAGTTATTTGGTCCTTTATTATAGCAACAGCAAAATGAACTAAGGCAAGAGGTGGGCTAAAGCCCCGGTTCTTCCTAAGTAATCACAGATCACGGTGCTTGCTCCCTGCTTCCTTGTCGCCCCCTCTCGATATGAATGCACTGCGGCCAGAGGATGACCTAGGGTGTCCTGCCTTAGCACTCTCTACCTAGTCCTTTCAGACAGGGTCTCTCACTGAGCCTGGAGCTAGGCAGGTAGCCAGCAAGCCCTAGCAATGTCCCTCTCTCTGTCCCTGAGTGTCCTGGGGTTACAGGTGTTCATATGGCCACGCCCAGCTTGCTGTGTGGATGCTAAGACCTGTGCACAGGTTCTCAGACCTGGAGAGCCACGGCTTTCACACAGCCATTCCTCCAGCCCCATCTTCTCTGCTTGCCTAGTTGTTTTTTTTTTTTTTTTTTTTCTGACTTTCAATATATGGTATATTTTTTTTCTGCTAAAATTTTGATAGGCAGAAACATCAAAAGGTAGAAAGTGAATTTCTTGCGACATTTGCCCTCAAACACATTCTTCTGCCACACCTGCACAGATGAAATTTTCCTATTAAAGTAACTTAAGTAACTTATAACATGAGCATGGATGACAATGACGTAATGGTGTCTATAAGACAAAAGCTGAAAAGCTGAACATATTCATATAAAAATGGATATATTTCAAACCAAGCTTTCCCTTGGCAATCAATGTTTACTCTTTTTATTACTGCTGCTCCTAGCCTGGGTGATGTCCTAGACATTTATAGACAGCACAGCTGTGTGCCTGAAGATATATGTGTGTGTGTTTTTATGTTTATCTTTTTAAATTGTAGTTTCAAAAAGAATCTCATAAAATCAACCATCTAAAACTGCACCATCCAGAGGTTTTTTTTTTTGTTTTGTTTTTTTTGTTTTGTTTTGTTTTTTAGCACACTCGATGGCTTTAAAAATCACCCCCGCTTTCTAATTCCATTTTCACCTAATTTCAGAAAGAAACTCTGTCCACTGAATGACCGTCCCTCGTTGCCTCTCTGCCATCCCAGGCCTCAAGTCTTTAGGCATCTATGGTATATTCTCAAATTTTTATATAAGGGGCCTTCCTTGGCTGAGTTCTTACAGTCAGTGGGATGATTTCAAGTTTTATCTGTGTGGCAACACCTGCCAGTACTTCATTCGTTTTCACAGTTGAAAAAGCAGTAGCTCTCTGCGTGGTCATACCACATTATGTTTGGATAGTCAACAGATGGTGGGCATTTGAATTGATTCCACATTTTGATGACTGTTAATGGTGCTGCCGTGAACACTCATGCACACGTCTCTGTTTAAACACCAGTCTTCATATGCTAGAGATGTGGATTGGCAGTTAAGAGCACAAACCACTCTTCTAGAGGCCTGGAGCAAACTAACGCATTTTGTCCCTCACCCCCACCCATATCAGGCGTCAGGGACTCTGACTTCTTCTGGCTGACACAGGAATCTGTACTCATGTGAACATGGCCTCACATAGGCGTACACATACACAAAACTAAAAATAATAAGATGAATTTTTTCTTAAAACGGAAGCCCCATTTTCTAGTTTTATTTCTCAGATGTAACTAGGAGTGATCATACAGTAATTTGGCATTTGACTTTTTGAGTAACCAGAACATTGATTTTGTTTGTTTGTTTGTTTGTTTTTATACTACAGAACCATTTTACAAGCTCACCAGCCTCTGCATTCTTAGATATAATAGAGAGAGTCCCTTAAAACATTCTATCCATGCTCGTGTGTGCAGCAATCTCGTGGTTCAGGTCTTCACCATTCTGAGGTTAATGATGTCAAGAATGTTTGGCGTACATTTGTTGGCCACTTGAGAATTTCCCCTGCGTAGCCTGAGCTGTCCTGGAACTCACTCTGTAAATCAGACTGACCTGGAACTCAGTAATCTGCCTGCCTCTGCCTCCCAAGTGCTGGCATTAAAGGAGTGTGCCAATCCCTGCCTGGCCTATCTGATAGCTTTTT